TTTACAGTTTTTTACAATATTTATAATTATTTCACAAATATGTAATGGTATTCTTCTGTTTCATAGTTTGTTGCCACCCAAAGTTTAACCGAGTGATCCGGACATCCATGTACATCTAGAATACCATCTACTAGAGATTTTTCTCGACCCCGTAGGTACGACAAGTGAAGAGCAACATGACATACTCACCAATTTTATACAAGTCGGATTCTCTTAAATGACAATTAGACGAATGTGTAATGGTATCGCTGCGAATTGAACAATATTTACAGTTTTTTACAATATTTATAATTATTTCACAAATATGTAATGGTATTCTTCTGTTTCATAGTTTGTTGCCACCCAAAGTTTAACCGAGTGATCCGGACATCCATGTACATCTAGAATACCATCTACTAGAGATTTTTCTCGACCCCGTAGGTACGACAAGTGAAGAGCAACATGACATACTCACCAATTTTATACAAGTCGGATTCTCTTAAATGACAATTAGACGAATGTGTAATGGTATCGCTGCGAATTGAACAATATTTACAGTTTTTTACAATATTTATAATTATTTCACAAATATGTAATGGTATTCTTCTGTTTCATAGTTTGTTGCCACCCAAAGTTTAACCGAGTGATCCGGACATCCATGTACATCTAGAATACCATCTACTAGAGATTTTTCTCGACCCCGTAGGTACGACAAGTGAAGAGCAACATGACATACTCACCAATTTTATACAAGTCGGATTCTCTTAAATGACAATTAGACGAATGTGTAATGGTATCGCTGCGAATTGAACAATATTTACAGTTTTTTACAATATTTATAATTATTTCACAAATATGTAATGGTATTCTTCTGTTTCATAGTTTGTTGCCACCCAAAGTTTAACCGAGTNCAAAAAAATAAACAATTAAAAAATTTTAAAAATAATTTTAAAAAAATAAACAAAAGGAAATTATGAAAATTAAATAAAGAATATAAATATTATTTAATTAAAATTGAAAACATTAAATTAATAAAGAATATAAATATTATATAATTAAAATTTAAAAAAATATTTTATCATTAAAGAAAAGAATTAAAATAATTTTAAATTGAAAAGAAAATGAAAAAAAGGGTCTTTAGACCGACTGTTATGGTTATCAATCGACTGAGCCAACTGTTTCTCGTCGAAAATAACATTTTCAGCGAGATGAAGGTTCCAAAATGTAATATATACACATAAATCTCTACTACATCAAATAATCTACCTAAATAATAAAGAATAAACTTTATACATAACAATTTAAAACACAATAAATGAAAAATTAATCTCACGATACAAAAAATAATAATAATAACATTGTTAAAGATAATGGCCGGTGTGTGATGGCAGCGTTGGGTTGACTGTGAAAATGTTTCTTCGACTTGATTCTGACTGTGGACTGTGTGAGAGATTTGAAATTTCTTTTTCCTCTCCTCTCAAATAGTTGGTAGAAGATTGGGGTATTTTTGGTTTTGGCATTTAACTTAACATTTTATGCTTTTTAACTTTTTTTTAATGGTTAAAGGCTACTATGGAAATATGATCAGCCAATCGGCCATTTCCTTGTATTTCCTCATGATATGTGGGCTTGAATTGAACCAAATATCGGTCGGGCTGCTCCGACCCAAATTTGACATTATTTTGAACTTCGAGTATTTATTGAACAGGTATAATAAAATTGTTCGAGTCACTTAAATATTTGTTTTCACGAATATTGGATAAAAGTGTCAAACAACACTAAAATATCTTTTTATTAGTTGACCGAGTTGACATAGACTGTGTTAAGTATAAGACCATCGTCAACCCCATACTAAAATTTGAAGTAAGTTTTGCACAATTTTACACCAAACTAAAAATTATTTACAATCCATTACATCAAAAGTTGCACTAAATTAACAGTATTTAATCATTTTCTTCATTTTTTTATTCTTAGCAATTTATATATCTGAAAATTATTTATTAATTTACAACTACATAAATAATTACGTTTCGTTAACGAAAATATTAATTTCATTAATAAATTTTAAAAATATAGTACAATTAATAAAAATACCACAACTAAAAAAAAAAAAAATACTAAATCATGTTATTAAAAAATAACGTAGTACATTTCGAATCCCGATATTATGATATGACAATCGAACTAGTGTTGTAATTCAATTATCGGAATTCGTATATTCATCCCACAAATGTTCAATTAATAATAATGGTATTAAGAATTAAAATCTACGTATAATATAAAATGACACAAATATCCTTAACAATAGTTGGTGCTAAATGAAAAAAAAAGGACTTTAATCAAATATGGTACAACACTATTCAAAATGGTGCAAAATTTAGGGGCTGTTTTCTTTATGTTTCAGTTTTGTGTTTTGAATTGTGACTTAATTTTGTGTTTTGTGTTTTGAGTGCCTATTTTGCGATTGTTGAAAATGTGTT